TGGCTGGTAGGCTTCAATGCAGGCTCACTAAACATTTAGGTGAACTATTCATTGAAGTTTTTTAACTGCCAGTACTTTGTAATAAAAACCTATAAAGTATTCTTCAGTAATACTGAAGACAGAAAATAATGTAATAATGATATTTGATGAGATCTGGAAGCAATATTTAAAAAAAAATAAACTGGCTGGTAGGCATAGCAAGTTACCTCAGATAAGGAAATGGATATATAAATGGCATTAAAAGGAAGTATAGATCGTAGGATATTCAGAATTGGAAGATTTATTTATTTCCCATCAAATGAAACGTGATTGTTACACACATCATTAGGACAAAAACAAACCAACATGGCTTCAATATGTTAAAAGAAAAGAACTAACAAAGATTACAGCCATATGCCGGACATCTTTTAAGATTTTTGAAGGGATTAAAGGGGTATAGTTGGCTGAACCAAAGGGTTCCTACAAAGATTAGGGAATGAGAAGCTTGATATGCTTAAGCCTTATGTATGTTCTATAAACTGAGTCATGGGTACTCTGAATGTCCATTTCTCTATTCTTCCCCCACTGCAACCTGCAGACTAACTTGCAAGTAGCTTCAAATTCAAGTGATTGCTAATTCCTTTATTAAACTTCTCTTAGAATTATGCAGGACTAGTAATGAGTCTGCTTTCTGACTAAATCCAGGCTAAGACACCTGGCTTCCCCAGAAAAGAGAGCTTGAATGAAAGATTAAATCTACTACTGTACACAGGACAAGCCAGGCTGGTGAAAGTGAGGACAGGAAATGAAGGTAGTAAGACAAACAGCAAACGCACATTGGCAGATGACTGCACGGTCACCATTTGTCTCATGAAAAGCTTTGAAGAGCTACTGTCAATCTCTTGGCAAATACACTAGCTTAGGCACATGGTCCGTCTCTGAACAAGAAGGATGAAGACGGTGCTTCTAAACAATCTGTCAGGAAAAGAAATTTGCCTGACACTTTCTTTCAGTGCATTGATCCAGTTAACTTCACTAATTCTCCAGCCTGCATGCTCAGCCCTTTTTATAAGACCTGTGGAAGCCCTTTGGTATGCTCCTCATAGAGTATGGAAGTGTTGAAATGGGCCAGAAATTCTGGGTATGTAGCATAGTTATGCAGTTAGAGCTTGTATGTAGGTGTCCCCCCAAAGCCTCATGTAGTCATGGGGCAACTTTGAGAGTTTGTGATTAATTCATGATCTAATGCTGGGATTATGGGTGACAGTGCCACACCCGTCCTGGGGTGGAAAGTCTGAACACAATATAAGGAAAGGAGAGAGGCTTGCTGTCTGCCTCTGCTACCGCAGCCACTGCTCCTCCCTTTTGACTGTTTTCTGCTGCCATGACCCTCTGCCATGTGCCACTCTGTCTTAGAGCCAGCTGAGTATGGACAGTAACCTCCACTGTGAGCTAAATAAACCTTTCCTTCCTCAATTTTGGGTATCAGGTATTTTGTCCCAATAACAAGAGAAAAGTAACCAAGACATGTGCCTAGTTAACCTCTAGCAGAGGAGTCACATAAGACTGCTGGCCACTTGTCACAATATAAGATGGAAGCTAAGCCCAAGGGAGTGGTCAAGGGCCCAAGAAATAGTGAAGCTGAGACCCTTATGATGTATCTGATACAGAATCCAAAGATGGGATATGTAATGCCCACAATAAGGCTGTACAAATAAATAGTTAAGCTTCAGCGACCTAACAATAGACATTTCTTGTCCACTATCAGGAAAGCTATCAGGAGATCTTGCCTGAGGATCTTTCACCCATTTGAGGGCTAGCAGGTTGTTTATTGGACAAAACAGATAGGATTCAGCTAGGGTGACAGGGATAAGCTGGTTCTGCTCTCTGGATGCCTTACCCCTGCCAGCCTAGCACAGTTGTGCAGCTTTGTGTGGAGGCAGAAGCGCCACAGTAAGTAAAGAGAACACAGGTTTTTGGAAATGCACATGGTCACGCCCATGAGAGGGTATTTCAAAGGAATCTGGAAAGTGGCCATGAACACAGAGGAGAGCAAAGAAATGGGACCATTTTTGCAGTCTGTCATAGCATGGGAAAAAAAGGGTAGCAAATTCCTTGTTCTAACAGGTATTACCTTCTTTTGAAACGAACTTGATATTTTGTCTGGCCTTAGTTACAAATTAGCCTTTCTGAAGTGTGGGCATCACTTTTTCTTTTGCCAGCTGTGAGGTGGGGTTAAGGCTTTCTTCTTTTCCTACTCCTTTCATGTTTACTTGGCCTGTCCAGCCAGTTAAATGGCAATGGATTCTAGCTCAGGAAGTCCAAATTTAGCCCAAAGAACCCCAAATTTGGCCTTGCTTAAATCGACTCAAGCTTCTACATCCAGGGCCAACTTTTAAACATGAAGAAATTCTATTTTAATTCCATTCTTATAAAATAATTGTTGAATAAATAAGCTAGTTTATTCGGCTAAGACTATAGCGCTAATGATGTTCAAACCTTACATCCCTTTTCATGAACAGCATGACACAATGGTGATCTTGGTGAGCAGAACTAAATCAGAACTTCTGGGTGGTAGGCCTGGGCCTGCTGCTAATTGTGCAGTTTACGTAGCCTCTTTGGTCTTCAGTGGCTAAATGTATGTAAGAAAGAATTCCTCTAAAATGCAGGATTCCCATTGTCCTGGCTGGTAATATGCAAATTCAAGTAAGATGAAGGCATACAAAATAAAGTTCAGAAAGTTTCCTTCAAGCCTTTTCAGAATGTTCAATATGACATATCTTTTTTAAAAAATTAAATCTTTTTCAGAGAATAAAAAATAGTAAAAAAAAAAAAAAAAAAAAAAAATGATCCAGAATTGCTCTAAACAAGATGACAAGAATTCAACAATGGTTGTATGGTATATTGTTGTCTTCAAATCAGCTGTTTACCAGATACAACATGCAAAATTAGTCAAAAAAATTAAAAAGAAAAATATTTAAGCATGAACTGTTCTTTTCAATAGACCAGTAGAAATCAGCTGGATAATTATACTGATATATCTTTTTAATCCCCAACAGGAAAATATGATGTGTAGCGAATACCTTTTTTCATAAAACATGTCATATGTTCCAGTGTATATACTTTGGTAAGTAACTGTTATTCCCTACATCTAATATATTAAGAATCCCAGAAAGAAACCAAAGGCAATTTCCAATAGGGAATTTGAGTAGTATATTAAAATAACAATTCACAAAGGCATAGGCAATTTAAGGGAAGTAACACAGGGGAGACTTAGTCACAGGGGAATTCATTACTACCTGTGAGTAAAAACGGGTGGACGGAGGGAGAGGACACCTGCTAGGAAGCCATTCTGGAGGGAGCAGCCAAGAGCTCATCCAGGCAGGAGCAGGGAAATGTGACTTCTGTTTTCCTCTCCACTGCCAACATGCTGCTGCTTTTTGCTTTTTATTTATTGCATCAGGAGAAAAGTCATTGGGCAAGGCCCTATCTCACAGTGACAGCACAGTGGACGGGTGGGTGGGTCTTAGGGGCAAACCCAGCACACAGGGCTTCCCTCCTGGGCAGTTGCACCTGTGATGAAAAGGTTATCAGCAGAACTCAGCTTCTCTTTTTGTCTCTCCACTCTTTCCTTTTTGGAATCTACTCTAACACTGGCTGTTTTGAGCAGCAGGTCCAGGCTTAGATCATTCTTTGTTCACAATTACAAATAATTAAAATTATATATATATATATATGTATATATATATATATATATATACACACACACACATACACATATATGTATATATGTATATATGTCACTTACACTCTAGGGGCTAAAAGGCCCTTCTATACAGTTACTCTTGACAATCATCCAACAAATTATGATTAACTTGTAAATCAGCCTCTCTAAAGTATGGGTATTTCTTTTTATTTCTAGCCAGAGGTGAGATGGGATTATTCTTCCTTATTCATTTTTTTTTTCTCCGAATGCCTTCAGGGCAGGTTTGGCTGGCTTGAGTTGTAGGGATCGAACCACAGCAACCTGAGCCTGACGGCTTTGTTGAAGCAGCCGCCTAAAGAACTGAGCTAAGGAGGCAGGCCCCCCTTTTCCCCTTTTTTATGTTCAGTTGTTTTATAGATTAAGTTAAATGGCAAAGCTCAGATTTAGCCCAAAGAAATCCACCTTTGGGCTACTTTCTAGGTGCTGCTGAAAAGACCTGATACACAAGCAGTTGTCCCTCATCATAATCCAGTGAAGTCACTACTGATTACTCATTACAACTGAAAAGCTGAGCTATGCCTGGTGAACGGAAAAGGAAAGGCCAGAGTTGAGTCGGATAGCTAGCTCCAGGCTGTGGACATCATCACTGTGTCATGTTCCCGTCTGATAAATAGCCCCATGTCCTGCAGAAGCCAAGCACTTAACACAAGGGACCCCGGGGTGGTCAGGCCGGGTGCTCAGGCCTTGGTCACAGCTTCTAGGATGTCCTGCAGCACCAAGCCTGCTGCATGGGGTCACATGCTCATCCCCATGGAAGAGACACATGATGATCAACAAGTTTCCACTACAGGAGACGCAGCTGGAAGGCAGATGCTAAAGGCAGTCATTGTCCACCAGCAGCTGCGTGGACGCAGAAGGCACCAGGAACTGCCAATCTAGTTCTAGTTCTGCCTGAGCTGTCCCATATCAACCTTCTATTCAAAGGTTCTAAACTTGTCTACATCCAAAGGCAGTGGTAAGCAAGGGTGAAAAGTTTGAATATCTAACTATAATTATCTAGATATATAATGAATATGGATTAAATATGCCGTTAAAACTATTTGCAATTGAACATCTGCAACTAAAACTGAGATCGACTGGTTAGCAAATGAAGCACATAGCTCCTAAAAGGAGTTTTTCAGTGATCATGAACTTTGAAACTTGACCCAGATACAGTTTCCTTTTTAAAAATAGGAGCTAAAGCAAATTAAATTGGAAGTTTTTCAAGTGGTCTTGCAAGCATTATACACAATTATTTCCCCAAAATAAACAAAAATCACAAGTACAAGTTTATTGATTTTAGCAGAATACAAGGGCAGGAGGCTTGTAAACAACTAATGGGTCGGCTTCGGTGTCTGCTTAGCCCCAGAGTACTTGGCATTTTTTATCAACTGGTACATAAAAGAATAGAAAAATAGAAGATTGTCATATTGTCCTTTGTATTTCTCCTTTAATATATCAGCATGGTAGTCTACCAGAAAGTAGTAAATGGCTTCAATGGTGGAAAGGAAAGTGTCTGGCTTTCCCTTTTGATGGCGCCAAAAGCAAGTTTTTCTTGTTTTCAACTCAACTTGTAAGAGCCCTGTCAAAGAAAAAAAAAAAGAGAGAGAAAGAGAAAGAAGAAAAATATGAATACTTCTTAACCACAGAATATGGTAAAACAATAATTTGTTTTCATTATTTCAAGATTTTTTTAAAAAGAAGTAGACACATTTCTCCAATCCCAAATCCAAACACGGTATTATTTTATTTTCTTGTCTCTTGCTTTCATTTATTACCCTTTCTTTTTAAACAAACATTTACTTGAGAGACAGTATGGCAGTAATTGGTATGTCATGACAAGCAGTACGTATTTAGAAGACCAGAATGACCCTACCATTACACATTGCTGTCTTCAGTGTAGTTGCTCAGTCCACAGGTATCAGCATATATAGTTAGTCAGGGTGAGAATCCTACCAGTTAACTGCTAGTTTCAAAAACATGCTGAAGATTCTCAGGACCATTACCTTACCCATCTTGTGCATATAAATGTATGGCTTTGCCCCTGTCATGTTTCTTAGTTTTTCTCCTTGCCCTCTCTTCATTGTCTAATCCTCAAGTTCTTGCTTTGCTTTTAATTGTGGTATGCCTTTCTATTTTTATTTCCTTTGAGTTCTTATACCAGGGAAACTATATGATATTTACATATGTGGGTCTGGTTTATTTCACTTATGAGTGTATCTTCAAGTGGCATCCACTTAAAGGCTTTGAGTTTATCATTCTTTATAGCTGAGTAATACTCCATTGTATAAAAATACCACACCTTTTTCAACCATTCCTCAGGTGATAGGCATCTTGGTTGTTTCCAAGATTTGGCTATCATAAATTGTGCTGCTATAAACATAGGTACACATACATCACTATTATATTATGTTTCCAGTTCCTCTGGGAAAATCCCAGTAGGGGGATAGCTGGTTTGAATGGGATTTCCAGTCCTAGTATTTTAAGGAGTCTCCACACTGATTTCCATAATGGTTGCACCAGTCTACACTCCCAACAGGGGAGAAGGGTTCCTTTTTCCCCACAGCCTCTCCAACATTTGTTATTGGTTGATTTCTTTATGATAGCCATTCTTTCTGGGGTGAGATGGTATCTCAGTGTTGTTTTAATTTGCATTTCACAGATGGCTAGTGATGTGGTGCATTTTTTCATATATTTATTTGCTTCTTTAATTTCATCCTCTGAGAAGTATGCATTACAATTCCTGACTTGAAACTATACTACAAAGCTACTGTGATAAAATCAGCATGGTACTGGCAACAAAATAGACCTGAGGATCAATGGAATAGATTAGAAGACACAGAAGCCTTTATGAACACACTCAGCCACCTTATGTTCGGCAAAGGGGCCAAACATGCTTACTGGAAGAAAGATAGGCTCTTTAACAATGGTACTGGGAAAACTGGCTCTCTACATGCGGAAAACTAAAACTTGACCCAGGTCTATCACCATGCACTAAGCTAAAGTCAAAATGGATTAAAGATCTAAACATTAAAACAGAAACACTAGATCTCCTGGAAGAGAAAGTAGGAGGAACTCTTGAAGACATAGGGGTAGGCAAAGAGTTCATGAACAAAAATCAAATTGTTTGGGTAATACTTGAAAGAATTAACAACTGGGACCTCCTCTTATTAAGAAGTTTTTGCACGTCAAAAGAAATTATCAATAAAGTGAAAAGACAACCCACAAATTTCGAAAAAAAAATCTTAACTAATAAGCACTCAAAGGTCTGCTCTCTAGAATTTATAAAGACCCAATCCAGAAACGGGCATCCGAGATGAACAGCGTATTATGTTAAATGCATTATGGTATACGTAGGCACAACTCATGGCTCAGAATGAAGCTGTATCCATGAGTTACCTCCACATCTTAGACCCCATAGCAAAAGATAAAAATAATTAATATTTTAAATGTTTATTTCTATTTCCTATCTACTTTTAAAATAATTTGCAACAAGACTAAATTCACGTTTTTAAAAGGGTTTCACATCCCTGAAAAACTGACTTGTAGTTAAAATGTCATATTGAGAGAGACTGGCAACCTACTGGTCCTTAATGTTGGTAAAAATACACTTCCAGATTGTCACTTTCAAGTTCAACCTTCATGAACAAAGTACCACAAGATATGACCTCAGCTCTTGCACGTCAGCCACATGGCCTCAACAGCACACTGAGCAAGAAGGCCTCACTCTCCTACATTTCAGAGCAAATAATAAGCAAAGCAGGACTGTTATCTTTTACAGCTCAGGTATCTGCACAAGCTCAGAATGCTTTTCACTCCTTAGAGCAGTACTCTGACCCACACTACACTTATGGGCCATTTATTTTAGCACATTTTAAAATAAGACAAAGATAGCATCAAATTTGGCCCACTGGCCAATCTGAAACCTCAGAGTCATCAATGATGTTCTACTATCATATCTTACTTTTTACCTGAAAGCTACTTCAGAAATGCAGAAAAGTAGGGCCAGCCAGATAGCTCAGTGGACTAACACACCTGCTCAGGCAATCGCAGCAACCAGGGTTTGATACCCAGCATGCCATGCTGGCCCTGCCCTTGGGGCATGCTGAGATGGCGACTGGGACTGGGCATAGTGGCACATGCCTGTAAGCCCAGCACCTAGGAGGCTGAAAACAGGAGGATCACTACGAGTCTGATCTGTGTAGTGAGACCCTAAATACATAAAAAAAGAAAAAAAAATGCAGAAATATGACAAGAAATATTAAGATATTCAGAGACGTGAAGGATTGAATGTCTAATAGGAATCTGAGGAAAGGAGAGAAGAGAATGCAGTAGAGAAAGCACTTGACAGGATAACAGCTACGACTTCTCCCATGGGTAAATGGGACATAACATGTCTGAGGCAGAATGAGTACAGTGACGGAAGAGGATAGGCCCACGGTAGTATACCTGCAAACATCAAGGACAAAGAAAGAAAAGACTTCAAAAGTAGCCAGTGAAAAGGGAAGGATCATATATAAAGAATAAGTAAAATGATAGGGAACTGCTTAATTAGCAACAATAAATGCTGAAAATCCTGGAATATCCTCAAAGTATCAAAAAGTAACTTGCAATCTTAAATTGTGTACTAGCAGACACAATATGTCAAGAAAAAGAGTAGAAATATTAATAGACAAAAACTGGATGTGCGCCAACAAGAAAGGAATTCCTACATAGGCCATACTTCCACAAAGATTAGGTGAAATAAAGAAGGGTTGAGCAAGAAAATGGTAAGCAGCTATGCAAATCCCAATAAATACTGCCTACATAAAATGAAAACAGTAATATCTAACACAGTATACTGACTATTGTTATTTTCTTATTATTTTGTAATGCAACTTTTGTTTATATAAAATAAAAAATCAAAATTAAAAAATATCTAACTTCTGAGCTGACAATAAATAAAACAAAAATAATGAAAACTGTTTTTTGGTACTTTTAACAAGGCATTAACAAGGCTTCAGTGCACTAAGTTATTACAGGGAACAAAGGACAGGTTGAAGTATCGTATGGTTCTGAAATTTTTGAAGTAGCATATGCACTATTCTCTAACAACAATCTAATCAGAATATTAAAAAATAAAGAGAACCTCCATTCAACAAAGAAAAAAAAACTAGAAAAGAAAAACAATAGCATAAAGAAAAGCAGGACTAACAGAAATAAAAATTGCCCAGAGGGATGAGCAAATAAGCAAGTATTTGTTTCCAAACTACTTGAAGGTTTAAAAGACACTTTCGGGCTGCAGTCTAATAGCTGAGAAATAGCTCAGCAGTCTAAGTGTCTGCCCAACAAGCACAGGGACCGGGGTTCAAACCCCAACAGCACATGCTGCACTGGCCCCGCCCCAGGTGCACCGAGCCAGACACCAATACCACGTGTGGCGGTGCACACCTGTAATCCTAGTGCTGGGGAGGCTGAGACAGGAGGATCACTACAAGTCCAAGCTGCATAGTGACACCTTGTACCAAATACACAAAATTAAAAAACAAAACTTTCCAAGTTTAACAAATTTTTAAAAATAGAAATAAAAATTAAAATGGTAAAAATAAACTCAAAGTGTATCAATATTTGGGCAAATATAAATAAAACTATCATTTAAAAATCATATCAGATTAAAACACAAGAAAGATGATTTCTACAGAAATTTCATTAACACATTGGAGGTCTTAGTCAATAAAGTAACAAAAATAAAATCACATGCTTAAAAAGTGGAAAGCCAAAAATACAACTGACATTGTTTACACAGAAACGCAAAACAAGAAAAAAAAATCTTAAACAATTGTGAGAAACATGGTCTCTTGAGATTGATAAAGATTTAAACAAGACATAAAAGGGCTAAACATAAGATCGAGTCCTCAAAAGTCACCATGAAGAAATTTAAGAGGAATGAAGCAGACTGCCTGCCCTCTGGTTGACCCCAGGGCCATCGGACAGAGCTGTGCTCAGCTGCATGCCAGGGACCCGGCTGGGCCCTTGGGACCCGTGGCAGCTTCCCTTCACACACTCGAGCACCTGGCCATTAGGGCTTCGCAGACTACAAAGGCCTCCAGGCGCCCACGGCCCCACCCACCATCACCGTGAGCCTCCACCGAGGTGCACACCAGAGGCAAGACGAGAAACAAACACAGAAGGCCAAGTGAACAACTGGCCTGCCCCGGGTTCTGCCCACAGAGCCGAGTTCTCTGCTATGACTCACATAGGTCCCTGGCTGCAGGGCAGTGCACGGCTGTCTCAGGCTGGACACATGCCACAGTGAGCAGAGCTGGCACTTGTTAATACCAGAGAAGAAGACGATGGTTATGAAGTACTGTGGGCATTTTCTGCCACATAGACCACTATGGGAAACACGTAAGAGAATTCAATAGGTCTGGGGTACAGCGGCAGCGCTGAGCAGATTCCTGGGGTCCCCACATGGTTCTCAGGGGTTGCTATGCCTGTTCAAAACCTGCTGGATAAACAGGTGAGGGAGGGGCAGCACAGGCCAAGGGAGTCTCACATTCATACGGGTGTGTAAAATCATTTCAAATGCAAGAAAATAAAATT